AAAAAAATATATATATGTATATAATTGTAGTCTCAGAGTCAGGAAATTTTCATGAATTTATTTGCACTGCCCAGAGCGAATGTTCAGTGTGGTGCATTTGTGTCTGTGCATGTCACAGGTGGATGACGTATAATTTGTGGTTGGATTTAAGTCTTTGCTTTAAACTTGAACAAAGCAGGCTCAAATGAGGACACAACGATGAAGTGTGATCATGTGTTCATGTGTGTGTGTGAATTCAGGAGCTGCTGCTTTGGTTCGAACTCTTTCACAGTAGTAAAATGCATTCTGACTGCATCTGGAGCAAACCAGATACAGAGCTCACCTTTGACCTGATGCTGTGTGTGTGTGTGTGTGTGTGTGCAAAAGACAAATAGCACATGTTTCAGTTAAATAATTTTGATTGTCAATTCTTGTCGATCAGCACTCTCTAGTGTTAATGAAGTGTGCCTCAGTCTGTGGTGTTGTCTTGTCATTTATTTGTGTTAATAATCTTCCTTATATCTTCATGATGATGATGATGATAATACTAAAGGTCCAATTCTCAGAACTTAGCTATGACTTTTTCCTGCTTATTAATAGTTAGTGAGGTGTTCTTAAGTTTAGGTATTGGATCGGATTAAGGGATCATAAGTATGTATGGTGATGCAGAAGAAGGTATTAAAATGTTTTTTTTTTATAAGTTCTAATCTTATAAATACTTATAAGATTAATACTTATAAGTACTAAAACAGCCAATATGCTATTAATATGTATGCTATTTGCCAATATGCATGCATTTTTATAAATATGTCTAATAAATTTTCTTAAAACTGTTTCACTTCTATCACATTACCAATGTTTAAAATAAGTGTGCTTAATTGTACTGAATGTGCACTTGTAATATACTTCAAATATGAAAAATATATAAAAAATGTACTTGCAGGCAATATATAATGTTAATGAAATAAAAGGAAACTAAAGTGTACTTACATGTACTAAATTGCAACTTGACATACAAGTTTCAATAGAAACGTCATTAAAATATATTTTAGTTTACCATAAATGCTTGTCATTCACCATTGCTTTAACCGTATTTCATAGACAATAGAAGAAATTATGGAATTAAATGTAAAGATGTACTTAAGTTTTTTCTTAAGAGGGTCAAAAAGCACTCTAATGTTCAACTAATGGCATTTCAAATCTATTTAAATTATAATACATTTTAAAATGTTCTTTTAAAGCATATTATTTCTGTTAGAAATACTTTTTGAATATATGAAAAAGTATGCTAAAGTGCACTTCATTTTCACAAGGGTAGAGTGATTCAACTAATATATCATGATACATTATCTGTCCTGGCTGACTGTCACGTTTTCTGATTCTGAACTTGGCATGGCTGTTCAGATCCTTCATAATGAGCAAGCCTGTGTCGTTCCTGTCTGCTTGTTTCCACTTCAGAGCCCCGGTAGCCCGTTAGAAATACATACTGTCTCCAGCACAGGACTGTGTCAGAGATCTTCACCTAACTCCTCAGATTCACCCCCCTCTGTGATCAGTCGCGTGGCGAGGAGAACAAGGCCTCCTGTCAATCTCCATGCATCTGCTGCTCTCTACAGTGTTAATTTAACAGCACACTTTCACGGTCAGGAGTCAGAAGTCAGAAGCAACCATCAGATGCGCACCCGAGAGGAAAACAATCCTGCTGTACAAATGTGTGATGTGTCTAAACAGCCTTTAGTGCTCAGATACTGTAGAGGAGCGCAGACCTGATGTCTGGAGATCAAGAGCAGGGTTGTATATATTCAACATTTTTTGAATGTCATTTTGAGTAAATGACATGAATTTTCATTTTTGGGTGAACTATTCCTTTAAGTTTTGTGTTTATACAGAAATATCCATTTAAAATTCATCCCACAGTGAGATAAAACTTTGTCCGAATATCCCCGGTCTCCACTATATGATAGCACGCTCATCATTTTAGCCAAAATATCTTAGGTTTCTTGTTAATTATTCTCAAAGCATTTATAGAAAAGTCATGTGCAGATTTCCAAACATATGGTGAATGCCTTCTTGTAACAGGAAACAATCCTTCCATTCATCATTCAGTTTGAGACATTCTTCAAACTGGTGAAAACATAAAATGAAAATCTAGGCTGAAGGAATCAGAATTCAGAAGTCAAGAGGAGAGATAAATGGCAAGCAGCTGTGTGAGATCAGGCTAAAAGCGCTGCTTCACACTTCCTTCACACTCTCTGGAACTGAGCAGAATGGATTAACTAGTGCACGAAGCAGATCTTCTGCATTAACCTTTACAGAACGAGGCAGTGTGTGTGCATGTTTATGTGGTTTATGAGGACACAAATTTGTATAATAACATGGGTATGACAGGTATTACAACGGGAAGGTGATTTATGAGAACATTTTCAGTGTCTCCATAATTCAAAAGGCTTATAAATAATTCAGAATGAGTTTTTTTGAAAATCTAAAAATGCAGAAAGTTTCCTGTGAGGGGTAGGTTTAGGGGTAGGGTTGGTGTAGGGCAATAGACAATACGGTTTGTACAGTATAAAAACCATTATGCCTATGGAGAGTCCCCATAAACCATAAAAACAAACCAGTGTGTGTGTGTGTTTGTGTGTATGAGACACAAGTCATATTTTTTGCCAAAACTGTCCTTGGAGAGTTAGTGATGACTGGTTGTTCAGGCTTTGAGCAGTTACATGGGACCACACACACACACAGACTGACACAGTCAAATCGATTAAACGCACACAGCCCATAACTGCGATTACAGCAGTCAGTGTTACTGAGATATGGAGAAGCCAACCATGCTGAACATCATGCTGTAAATCTGCTACCACACACACACACACACACGCACTTATTTTTCTGTCATGTGGAAGGCTCTCCATTGCCTTCAGTCAATGATATTCTCTATCCCCTAACACCCTATAAACATGTCTAAAATACAGATTTTAGTATGTTTCTAAGCCATTTTCCTTATGGAGACCATTAGATGCTCTCCACAATATTGGTAATTTCAGGTTTCACTGTTGTGGGAAGAAAATCATTAATCATCAATAAAAGCATATAGTACACTGAGCTCTGTTTAACACATTCTCAAACCCCCATAAATCATTTGGACATCAGCAGTTTTCAACTGAACAGAAAAAAACATCCTCAATGCCAAACATGTCTGTCACAGAAGGCATTGAGCACAACTGACAAAGAACCCAACAATTACCATTCCTTAATCAAAACTGTTATTAGTTTGCACTTTTATGTCACAAAAATCTGCTCTCTGAGGCCAATAGAATTATTTATGCATTGCAAATCCTTCTTTTGTGCTCTCCTTTGTGTAATAATAGTATCTGGCAAGACAGGTAACTGTTAGATCATGGGCTTGGCCCAGCCTGGATAAAGTTTTCTAAAAATCACATTATCCCAAAATATCTTAAAGAGTATTTCAACTAGTAAAATTCAGATATTTCAAATAGTGATCCGTGCAATCTGGTGTTTCGAAATTAAAAATAAAGCTACCCTGACTAAAGTATATGGCAACAAAAGCATAGTGCACGTATAAAATATGAATATATGTCATATAATTCAGTGCAGGGTAGTGTAATCTGGATTACTTAATCAGATTCCAAACATTAAGTACTTATAATAAGATTACAGTTACTTTTTTTATGGAATACATGATTACATATTCACACAATAGCAATACATTATTCATAATTTATTGATTTTCCCTAATTTCTCTTTTTCCTGAAATAGCCCTCTGCTTATACATTCAGAAAGTCTACCAGTTTTGTGGACATTCAGTCAGGTGGCTATGTAATTACACAGCATTTGACAACTTGATTTACAACATTTTTTTTTTCTCAATATTTTAACATCGCATAAACTACCGATGAACACATTCATTTTTATTTGAATTATCAGTGATTCATATTTAACCATGTATTACTGTCTTTGGAATGCATTAAATGCACAAATTCATGTTATTTCTTATTTACATGTAATGCAGGCATTCCCAAACTTTTTTTTTGGTCAGCCTTACCTTTTTACCCAATATATTTATTTGAAGTGCTCTTGAGATTTTAATGTAATAAGTTAGCAATGAAGTAACACATTTGCACATTGGTTCTCTGAGATTGGTTAATGGTCACATGACATGCAGGTAAACACATACTTCATCTTTTTCAGTAAGTGCTTTGATTGCTATTTTAAAATGATTTTTTTTTTAACATTTTTATGATTTATTTATTAAACATACGACCCCCCTACAGTCCCTTTACAAACCTCAGTTTAGAAAACCTTTACATATTGTAATGTTTAATGCTCCTCATCTTGCTTTTCATTTTTTAACATCTTGTTGCAACAGTTTACAAAAACTGAATATATTGAAAACACTGAATATATTGGGTCAAAATCCCATAATATAAATGCTATGCAGGCTATTTAAGACAGTATTGGCTGATCAGACGGCAATGCTGACCTAAAATGCAAAGTGTTTGCCCTCTCTCTCTTCACCGTTCCTATATCTCAGACCTCAAATACATACAATATTACCCTTTTTAGACATAGTTTTCGAAGTAAAGAGTAAAGAAAATACTATACAAAACATCTTGAAACTAGGGCCAAGTTGCATAAACTTAGCCATGTTAAGAACGTCTTAAGAACTAGTTTGACCAACTAGTTGCCAAGGGGTAATCGTCTTTTTTTTTCCAAATAAGACCAATCAACCAAAATTATCCTGTTAAAATCAATGTAATAAATGAGTTAGGTCAAAAGTAATCTAAAAGTAATCCGATTACATTACTTAAAATGTGTAATTAATGAGTATCAAGCACTGATTACACAATGTATATGCATTAATTGCATTAAAGTATAATTTTTTTGTTTGTTTACTAACTGAATGAATTTAAAAATAACTTTCAATGAATGCACAGAAGCCTAAAAAAAATAGTATATAGTTATAATAGTAACCAAAGAAAATAAACTCAAAGAAAGTCTCTTTTAATGACGCAGATGTAATAATAACAAACATGTAACTTCAATTTCAAAAAACGGTAAATGTGGTTAAATACAAACCGTGGATCAAGTAATCACCCATGCCTGAGAAAACATCCCAACATGCTCGCTTTCAGATGGTCACGTACAAATTGTACAATTACTCTTGCAAGTCTACAATTGTTTAAGTTGTCAAGTCTCATTGTAACACTTAAAACACATTGATCCCACTTATTTTGCATTCTACTCAGTTTTTCATAAAATATCCTCCCAATAAACAGAGCCAAGATTTAAAAAAATAAAAAAAATTCCCTTAATTTCTCTAAAATCAGTGCACAGATTGTGGTTTGCCTCCTCTATCCTCTTTACTTTGAGCTCCAATCTATCTGTTATCTTAAAGTTATTTTAAGGCTTTGGTAATGATCAAATGGAATGTCATTAAGAAGCATTTTAATTGTATTGTGAAACTAAGAGATTTCTGGAGCTAAGGGATGCTTCATTCAGTCAAAACTGATGAGTTCTTCGGGTCTAGCAAGGAATGATCAGGGCTGCGTTGCCCAAAAGCATGGTACGCTTAAGTACATCGTAGACCCATTCAAACCAATGGAGCTACGATCAACTTAAGCTTACGATGCTTTTGGGAAACGCAGCCCTGGCTATAACGAGGAATGCATTACAATAAAATATTCAACTAATGAACACAGCACACTGGTTAGTCTGTTAGAAAATATGATGTCTTTTGTGTTTAGCACTGCATCTACAAACACAGGGTGACGGGTCAGTTATCCTCTGACGCCCACTACTGTTGGATCTGAGACACAGCAGACGTGAACTGCCCTTTAGTAAAGTGATATGTAACAGACTTGATGCCCTGTCATAATACTCTATATTACTCTCGTTACTTCTAATGACCAGTGATTTTTCTGTATGATGAATGAGATCCGATGATGGTGCTTTGTTCAGATGACTCTCCTTCACCCGTCACAGAGGATAGAGGCCACAACAGTATCAAGATCATATAGAACATTTCTTGCGATTGAGTTTTGTGTCTGTGCATGAAATGCATGTAAATATTCAGTCAATACATTGCCCATCTTTTACACACCAGGCTTTGCCTCCAGTCATGAGGTGAGGACAGTCACACAGTTTGATCAGTCAGAGTCAGTTTGGCACTTTACAGCAGCTTTACAGCATTTCAGCGCTGGCGAAGACAGTATGAGAGTGTGTAAACAACATCATATCTTACCGTTACACACACTTAGAGAACCTGAGCGTCTGAGGAGGCAGGAAACAGATCTGGAGGTATAAATCATAACACTGTCCAGCAGCTCCTCCTCAATGATGGATCACTCTGTCAGTCATGGTGCTCCTGCTTCACTACTTTATCCTGGATTTTCCCGTGTGTGCAGAGGATTCTTCCTTAATCCTGGTGGGTCTTTTCTTGACTGACTTTGTACTCATACTGCAGCAAACAAAGAAACACAAATCAATGCAATATAGTGTTTTGAAAGGCAACATAACTACACATCACAATTTAAAGATCTTTCAAAGTTGTTACACACTGGTAAAACATTTGATGAAATGCAAATAAACGTGCTATATATATATATATAGTGTCTTGCGAAAGTATTCATACCCCTACATTTATTTCACGTTTTATGTTGCAGCCTTATGTTAAACTGCTTTAAATTACTTTTTTTCGACATCAATCTACACTCCATACACCATGATGGCAAAGCAAAAACTGAACTGTCACAAATTCGCAAATTTATTAAAAATAAAAAAACTTTAAGTACGTTGCATAAGTATTCTTTACTTAGCTGAAGCAGTCTTTTTGGGTATGATGCGACGGGTTTTTTCAGGTTTCTCCAGAAATATTTGACTGGGTTCAAGCTCAGGCTGTGGCTGGGCCACTCAAGGACATTCACAGTTATCTATAAGCCACTCTTGCTGTGTGCTTAGGGTCATTGCCTTCTGCCCAGTCTGAGGTTCTGAATGCTCTCGATTGGGTTTTCATTAAAGCTGTCTCTATATTTTGCTGCACTGAGCGTTTCTTCTACTCTGACGAGTTTTATTCCTGGGATGCAAAGCTGAATTGTCAGCGTCATTATTCCAGTCTTCAGTGTCACATTTTGTTTTTTTAAATCAATTATCAATTTTGAAAACAGTTGTGCTGCTTAATATTTTTGTAGAAACTGAAATATTTTACATCTGAATTCTCCGTTGAATAGAAAGTTTAAAAAACAGCATGTATTTTATAAATAAATAATTTATATAAATAAATAAATACATGCATAAACGTCTTTACTGTCACCTTTAACGAATCCTTGCTGAATAAATATATTAATTTCTTAAAAAAAAAAAAAAAAAAATCTCTTTCTGACATCAGTGTTAAATCCGTTCAGTCCACTGAGGTTTGATTATGTTTGAGTAACAACGCAAAAGTTTACCAGAGCTAGCTGTCGTCCAATATTCCCCACTGTTATGACCCCGGCGAAGAAGATACATGGCAGCCAGGACCGAATGTACAGGAAGTCAGGGGAGGTATATCTGCACACATAGACAGTGAAGTACCAAACAAAACATCCAAGCAAAACAGGCTTTTAATGATGCAAGTGTAAGCAGTAGATCTTATAGCTATCGCTCTTGGTGTGAACTGGCCTTAAAACTACTTTTGTCATTCAGTGATGCTTCCAACTGACTATATTGTGCAGACTTATAACAGAGCGTGTATGAAACTCACCGAAAGACTCCGTTGTAAACCAGCAGCTGGGTGGCAAGTGTGGCAAGTGTTGCAATGATGACTCCCAGCCCAAAACCACTGCGTGAACGATCGAACGTCCACCACAGGCCGACAGACAAGGCAGCCAGCGTCAATGACAGCTGCACATTATTCGCAAAGTCCACCTTCTGTTGGCACCAGGGTTAAAGATAACAAGTCGTACAAGAGCGATATCATTTTTTGCAGAATAGTGTGCAGCAGGGATGATGTATTATTGAAGGCCCAAACCCAGAAACGAGGTAGCATTTTAGCACTTCCGGTTCCATTGTCCTGAATTCAATGGTTTTTGTTTGAAAGCCTGAAATAAGGTCTGTTGTTCATGTTCACACAAGCTTTTATACTACATCATAAACCACATCAGTAATTCCAAATTGTGTTTTTTTTTAAAAAAAAAGCGTCTTGCAAAAGGTGGTTGTCAAACTGAACAGATAAACTACTCACTAGTCCAGTTTCACAACCTCATTGTTTATAATTGCACTCTTGCAAACTATTCGAACTCACACTTTCAGGGAATTTTTGTAAAGACTGAAAGAAGTGTCAGACGCTCAAATGGTGGTGACATGAGACAAGTCATGAAACCGTGGTGTTGTTTGTTTATAAGCTACATTTATCTTTTTTTACTTCTGGTGATTGCATTTAGGATTAAAAATGTATAAAAGTTGTTTCAATTTGTTTCAACAAAATGTTTAAATGATAAACATTTGTTGGTCACACAGTTGATTTTTTGCAATACTCCAAAAGCCAACAGAAAAATCCTATTGATTTTTGTCGAAGGAACCAAGGCTGATGCTATTTTATGGGTTGACCTACAAAAACAAGTCATCACTGCAGCACTCTATAAAACGGCCACATTTATTATCAGCTCAATGTCATTTCCAGTGCAGAAAAAAATTATGTTTATCTCTGGTTCTGTGAACGCGGACAACCAAAAACGTATGCGTAAAAAAAAAAAATGCAATCTATTTTCTAAATGCATCTTATCAGTCTTATCAATCACAAGCAAGCATTCAGATGAATAGTACCAAGTCTCTGTCCTACATTTTTTTTTCCAGATGTGTGTCACATTATGTAAGAAAATATGAATTTTGTTACAGCGTGACTTTAAGACAAACAATGCGACTAAAACTGTGTTCATCTATTGCAGCTGAACAGCTTGACAGAATGACTTTGTTAGAAAAGGAACAAGAAGAAATGCGAGGAGAAGGATACAGCACTGGCGTGATTTATGCCCACAAAGACGGCCACACAGCGCATCACGTTAGACCACTCTCTCTTGAGCTTATGCGGCTCCCCCAGACGACGATCCATACAGGGATACAGCAAACCTATAAACGCTGAAGAAAGAAGAGTGGCATTTAAATCGACATCACAGATCTCACAGACCCCATATACTGTACATATACTGTCTTGAGAACGACAACAGCATTAGTTTCTGTGAGAATCCTCAGTTATGACAGAAGCAGTTCAGACAATCGTAATATGTCGTGTGTGTGTTTGTGTACCTGCAGCTGTTCCACAGCAGGGAGGAACCCACCAGGCGGAGGAGAAAATGCTGCTGATGACGTCTGGAGGGAAGAGAGTGACGTTACGCTGCACCTGTAGCAGGTTTAGCACGAGTGCTAGAAACACGCCCACCATAAAGAGCATGGCAGCACGGATCAGCAAGTTCATGGTCCGGTTGGTGATCATGCTGATGTAGGGCCCGCGGCGCATCGGAGCACCACCGCTCAGAAGGACGTCAGCTGACATCACACACCTGGAAAGGAGAAGGTAATAATAATGATGCTGTCTGAAACCCAGACATACCTGATTTCACAATATTAATCATATAGCCAAAACTGAATGACCAAAGAAATTGCGTAACTGTGAATAGAATTCTTTGGGCTTTTTGTGCATATGACAATTTATAGCACATTTCATTTCAATTAATGATAAATATATATATATACTTCTAAAGAAATTGAAATTTTATCCATTAAGGGAAAGAACATTATAATCTTGTACAAATATTTTGTGCACCTTATGTTTCAGTTTACTTGAAATTGCCTTGATAACCCTTAAATTACCGTTTTTGCTATGAGCGGGTCTTTGAGTTCAAAATAATTAAGGCTACATTATCTATATGAAATTATTTCTAATTCTACATACTTCAGAAAAATTAGTTTTTTTGTTTCATTGAATTCAAATTTAATTTAAGAAAATATTTTATTTTGCTCAAGTTCTATCAACTATGTTATTTGATCAAACAACCCCCTGCAACTAAAAATGGCTTTTTGTATTTGATATAACTTTTTGAAATGTTGAACACATTATTGTATAATATACGTGTCCTTTCATTTGTTTGTTTTTTTTCCCCCTCAATATTTTATCTACTATAACCTATTATCAAATAACTGCCCGTCAATTGTTTTGGGTACATTGTTATGAATTTACATACATTTACTTAAGACTTAAATTCACCAGCTTCAACATTATTAACCTGTCATTTTCAATGACAGGCCTCGTCTGGCCAACCACATTTTGTTTTCTTAATCGGATTAACCCCAAATTGAAATATATATTTAAATTTGAGGTTAACCCGATCAAGAAAACAGAATGTGGTTGGCCAGACGAGGCCTGTCATTGAAATTATGAGTCAAATGGCGAAACTACAAAACTATGTTACGGTCTAAGTTACCCTATCGAGCCATTTCTTGAATTACATTCATGATCATACTGTGTGTGACTGTATCCAGTGATAATGAATTGTTTGCATTTTTTCTTTTCAATCGTAAATGAACCTTCTACGTGTTAGAGAAGAGTGAGTGTGTTCATGAGCTAGCAACGTGCGCAACAGTTAACAAACATGGTTTGTCGGTTTTTAAAGATTATTGCTGAAGGGTTGCGAAGTGTGTAGTGTAACATAAGTTGACAAACTAACTAGGAAAACATCCATTCTATTGTATTACCAAAATGGTGTTTAACAGTTTAAGCTGGACTAATAGCAAATATGTGACCCTGGACCACAAAACCAGTCATAAGTAGCACAGGTATAGTTGTAGCAATAGCCAACAATGGGTCAAAATGATTGATTTTTCTTTTATGCCAAAAATCATTAGTGACTCACCGTCGCCGGTTTAAATCTCTTGCTCTGCACAGAGATGTTAAAGTCCTGAGCGAAGGAAGAAGACCTTTCTGCGTGGCTATAATGCTGTGAGTTACTTCCGCCTCAGCAGCCAATCAGAAGAGGCTTTGCGATGCTCCTAATGTTTTGGCTCATTCTGGTTAAGTTCATGCTGTTCCTCAAACATACATTTGATTCAGCGTCTCTAATGCAAGTGAACACCGGTGTTGCCAGCTAGTTTTCAGGGGAAGTTGCTACAGGAAGGTGGCTTTGTTGCTGAAAGATGTTGCGTGATGACGTCATGACGTAATCACGACGCAGCATTGTGTCAAATCTCAGCAAAAACACACATATATATATATTTATATATTATATACGTTCATTTAGATTTGCTCGTAGCCATAATGAATCAAATATAATGCACAGGCTACTGTGTTAATAGTTTCTGGATTGATTTTTCCACCTGCATTTTTAATTACGCGTTGTATTTTGTGTTTTCGGGAACGGATAACGTCCTGGAAAGTTACTAGCACCTTTTCCACTTTTCTGCATGTTTTTCTTACAGTGTACTAACTCCTGAACAACCACAGGCACAAGCTACTCACAAAGTGGCTCATGAATGAAACACAACAGCATTCAATTATTATTATTACTATTAAACAACTGCAAATAGCAGCTAACTTAATTCCTGTACCGTGTGTACTGCTAGGCATCTTTGGTTTCCTCTTTTTGTGGGATTTAAACGGTCAACTGTGCCTTTTCATAGTTTGAGCCACTTAGCTAAAGTTGCTAAAAGCTGCCAAATAAATTTAAAAAATAGCTAAATATGTTGCTAGGCGCTTTTGGAAGAAAAAGTTGCTAAATTCAGCAACAAAATTGCTAAGTTGGCAACACTGGGAGCGCCGTCGGCGCCGAACTCTGAAATCTCGCGAGAGTTGGCGCGCCTCTTCTCACCTCCCATTTCCGCTCTAGATGTTCACGTTCCCGCCATCGTCGGCTGCTCGTGGGGCGCGAGCGCAGATAACATCGTAGCCGGCAAAACTCACACACTGACAGCGCGCCACACTGAGCGGATACCTTCACCCTCCAGCGCTTTCTTCGAGGGATTTCCCTCCCGCAGGTAAACGAGATGCGGTGTGTGAGCAGAATTTGCCCGCGTTTTTATCAGAGCGGTCAGTTAGCGGAGCCAAGCCTGTCACACGGCCTGGGCTGCTAATGCTAGTTAATTAGCTGCGTGTGTCATTACCTCACAGCGGAGTGTGAGGATACTGCCAAACAAAGACGCGTTTCTGCGGATCACACGAGAGTTAGTTTGCTTGAAGTGTGTGCGGTCTCTAGGGAAGCTAGTCAAGTTGGTTGATGTAAAGGGCGCGTGATGTTTGCTGATGTGTTTGTTTACGTTCAGCTGTACTCGCTGGAGCTCCTCGAAACATGCGGCTCTTTATGACAAGACCTTATCTAGGAGAGCTTCGGGCAGTTACTTCACTTTAAGATGTCAGAAGTGTGTCATACTTCAGCTCAAGGCTTTTAAAGCAACACTTGAGATCTGACTCAATGATTTAGTTTTGTGTTAAGTGGAGCGGTTGCGAAGATTTGACTCGAGAAGTGATATAACTGTCTAATGCGCATTAGATTTTACACCGGCGCTTTTTGTGCTCCGTTAGTTGTCGTTGATTAGTTTTAAACGGCCGGGTCGTTATTCTAGAGGTATCGTTAAATGACATTCACGCGTGACTCTGAGTCGCTGTTGTTTATTGTTTGTGAGTCCCATTCATGTCCGACACGTGGGTTGTGTGCTTTGCGCTGAAGCCGCCGTGAGCCCGTCTTCGCTCGTGTGTGCGGTCGCACCGGTGACACATTCACGTGTCTGCGTCTCTCGCGGTTTCGTGTCGGACATGGTCTCTCGTCTTCATCACCTCTTCGCTCTCGATTGTGTCCAGAGCCGGGTTTTGAGCGCCTCTCGCCCTCATGGCCGCCGCAGTGCCCAAGCTGACCAGCGGTGGCGCTGTCCGCATCCGCATCAGGTGTGGCGAGCTGGGGACCACCAAATGGAAAGAGGGGGTCTTTGAAATCCACGAGAGAGACAACAAAATAAACCTGCTTGTCAAGTTCAACAGTGGCGGCACTCCGAAGGTGTTTCAGGTACAGATCTGTCTTTGCATTCGCAGCCGAAAGCCTGACATATGATAACTGTCATTACAAATGCTGTTTGAGGATCATATTTCATACATGCACCCAGTGTTGGGGGTAACTCATTACAAGTAACGCGCGTTACGTAATCAGATTACTTTTTTCAAGTAACTAGTAAAGTAACGCATTACTTCAATTTACAAGAGAATATCTGAGTTACTTTTTCAAATAAGTAATGCAAGTAACTTTTTTCCCCAATGTATTGACTGACAGCTCTCCTGTCCCCAGACTTTTCTGTTTCATAAAGTATGATATAGTGAGGATATGAAGCTTGAAAAAAAAAATGCAATTTGGTGCAGTTGCTGATATTTACAGTGGGTACGGAAAGTATTCAGACCCCCTTACATTTTTCACTCTTTGTTATATTGCAGCCATTTGCTAAAATCATTTAAGTTATTTTTTTTTCCTCATTAATGTACACACAGCACAGCCAGAGCCCTGACTTAAACCCAATTGAGCATCTCTGGAGAGACCTAAAAATGGCTGTCCACCAACGTTTACCATCTAACCTGACAGAACTGGAGAGGATCTGCAAGGAGGAATGGCAGAGGATCCCCAAATCCAGGTGTGAAAAACTTGTTGCATCTTTCCCAAAAAGACTCATGGCTGTATTAGATCAAAAGGGTGCTTCTACTAAATACTGAGCAAAGGGTCTGAATACTTAGGACCATGTGATATTTCAGTTTTTCTTTTTTAATAAATCTGCAAAAATGTCAACAATTCTGTGTTTTTCTGTCAATATGGGGTGCTGTGTGTACATTAATGAGGGAAAAAAATTAACTTAAATGATTTTAGCAAATGGCTGCAATTTAACAGAGTGAAAAATGTAAGGGGGTCTGAATACTTTCCGTACCCACTGTATATGGCCAACCAATGAAATGCTGATGGTTAGGTTAACAGTATAGCAGATTACTTGCATTAAATGCTTATAAATATCACTTGTCAGTCTGTATCTCATATTAATGTCTCTAAGATGATTTTTAAATGCTTAGTTCGATTAAAACTCTGTTTGAGAGATGAACAAGTAAACATTCCTCAAAAGCCTGGTGGCTCATATTTGATACTCACATTTTAACAATTTTTCTATAAAAAAAAAAACCATGGATAATCAGGTAAATCTAATTTTGAGTTTGAGTACATGTTCATCTTGAAATATTACTAACAGTATAAAACACATTTTATCTTCATAAGTAAAGATTGAACAGCAAAAAGACCTGCAGGTGGACATTTTCACAATTATACTAAAAGTCTTTTTATTTGTTAAAGTATAACCTATTAATCAGATGACTGAAGGCATGTAGTAGATTGTGTGCATCAATTTTTTTTCAGCAAAGCTTGATCATGTTGATCATTTAAATCCTTAGAAATGTGTATGAAATACGATGAAGGATGTTTATAGGGTTAAGAAACACCTGCAAGGTTCTCCGTAGAGACACAGAGTGTCATTTTAAGACATATGCATCAAATGCATTTTGTTGAATGCTATTTAGACTTATTTGTTTATTTTGTTGCAGCTGAATCACAACGTTAAGCAGGTTTCATGGTATCAAACGCATGGCCCAAACCGTGTGACTTTGACTCTGAAAGATGATTAAAACTCTGTTTGAGAGATGAACAAGTAAACATTCCTCAAAAGCCTGGTGGCTCATATTTGATACTCACATTTTAACACAATTTTTCTATAAAAAAAACAAACATGGATAATCAGGTAAATCTAATTTTGAGTTTGAGTACATGTTCATCTTGAAATATTACTAACAGTATAAAACACATTTTATCTTCATAAGTAAAGATTGAACAGCAAAAAGACCTGCAGGTGGACATTTTCACAATTATACTAAAAGTCTTTTTATTTGTTAAAGTATAACCTATTAATCAGATGACTGAAGGCATGTAGTAGATTGTGTGCATCAATTTTTTTCCAGCAAAGCTTGATCATGTTGATAATTTAAATCCTTAGAAATGTGTATGAAATACGATGAAGGATGTTTATAGGGTTAAGAAACACCTGCAAGGTTCTCCGTAGAGACACAGAGTGTCATTTTAAGACATGTGCATCAAATGCATTTTGTTGAATGCTATTTAGACTTATTTGTTTATTTTGTTGCAGCTGAATCACAATGTTAAGCAGGTTTCATGGTATCAAACGCATGGCCCAAACCGTGTGACTTTGACTAATCACTCAACTCCCTTTAAAAAGGTGCGCCCAACTTTGGACTACGGTGGCTGGAACAAACCAAGACCATCCGCGCTGGCTCAGCCGCAGCCTCCACTACAAGGGTGAGCGTCTAAAGCTCGCTAATATAGGGTTCTATGAAATGTTTTATTTCTTCCCCCAAATTCTGTTTAATTTTAGTTGTTTTTTTAAATTCAGTTTTTATGTGATACCACTTTCAAATGGTGGTAATCAAATTAATGCATAAAACCTAACGGTTTAATTTCTTTTACAATGCATCAAATGAAAATTAAAATTTTTGCAACGTTATTAGTGTTTTACTGTATTATTATTGCTGAGAGATACATTCTACTATACATTTATAATGTATATATTTTATTTTAAAACGGATAGTTCCGGTCCTTGGTTCTGATTGGTTGAGCCAAGTTCGAAGCTTACACTATTAGAAATTACTCTACGAACACACACCTTTATTTACATTTGTGTGTTGCTCGGCAACCACTTTGTTGGAACTACAACCGTTTCGGAGGAACTACATTGTTTAGCGGAAGAATAATGTTTTTATTAATATCATTACACTTTATTTGCTCTGTTTTATCTGTTTTATTTTGTGAAACCTTACTACGTATATGGAATATCCGTTTTATAAAAAGCAATAAGCCCCGTGAAGCCGTGGTTTACAGTGAATTTATAACAGCTATGGGGGTTGTTATAAATTCACTGTAAACCACGGCTTCTTGGGGCTTATTGCTTTATTATAAATAGTTTAAATAATACTTTGTATAGTATAGGGATGCAGCGATTAACCGGTTTCGCGATTTAACCGCGCTTTAAAACGTCACGGTTAATTAATCGTAAAGGTTCCGCTAAACCGAGTGTTTCTGTCACACGGAACGGAGCTGTTGCAGCTTGCGCGAAACAAACAAAGTTACACTAGCGGCGCACCAGCTTAAATTGACGTGCTTATCAGAGGCACGGAGGCTACTACAATCACTCAACTCCCTTTAAAAAGGTGCGCCCAACTTTGGACTACGGTGGCTGGAACAAACCAAGACCATCCACGCTGGCTCAGCTGCAGCCTCCACTACAAGGGTGAGCGTCTAAAGCTCGCTAATATAGGGTTCTATGAAATGTTTTATTTCTTCCCCCAAATTCTGTTTAATTTTAGTTGTTTTTTTTTATTCAGTTTTTATGTGATACCACTTTCAAATGGTGGTAATCAAATTAATGCATAAAACCTAACGGTTTAATTTCTTTTACAATGCATCAAATGAAAATTAAAATTTTTGCAACGTTATTAGTGTTTTACTGTATTATTATTGCTGAGAGATACATTCTACTATACATTTATAATGTATATATTTTATTTTAAAACGGATAGTTCCGGTCCTTGGTTCTGATTGGTTGAGCCAAGTTCGAAGCTTACACTATTAGAAATTACTCTACGAACACACACCTTTGTTTACATTTGTGTGTTGCTCGGCAGCCACTTTGTTGGAACTACAACCGTTTCGGAGGAACTACATTGTTTAGCGGAAGAATAATGTTTTTATTAATATCATTACACTTTATTTGCTCTGTTTTATCTGTTTTATTTTGTGAAACCTTACTACGTATATGGAATATCCGTTTTATAAAAAGCAATAAGCCCCGTGAAGCCGTGGTTTACAGTGAATTTATAACAGCTATGGGGGTTGTTATAAATTCACTGTAAACCACGGCT